CCATAAAACACATCTTACCTAATTTAAAAGAAGTCACACAAGGTCTGCTCTGAGACCACAGTGGAATTAAACTAGAAATCAATAACAGAAAGATAACTGGAAAACAGAAGAACATGTGGAGATTAAACACATTTCTAAATAACACATAGGTCAAAGAAGAAATCTTGAGAAATTTTAAAATATTTTGAATTTAATGAAAATGAAAACACAACTTACCAAATTTGGAGGATGCAGCAAAAGCAGTGCATAGAGGGAAATTTATGAAGGCAATGAATGCATATATTAGAAAAGAAGAGAGATCTAAAATCAATCATCTAAGTTTCCACCTTAGGAAACTAGAAAAAGAGCAAATTAAATTTGCTCCAAAGTAAGCAGAAGAAAAGAAATAGTAAGAATTAGAGCAGAAATCAATAAAATTGAAAACAGGAAATCAACACAGAAAAATCAATGAAGCCATAAGATGGTTCTTTGAAAAGATCTATAAAACTAATAAGCCTCTAGCCAGGCTAACTAAGGAAAAAAAAGGAGAGGACACAAAATTACTAATATCTGAAATGAAAGAGGGGACACCACTACAGATCACATGGAAAGTTAAAGGATAATAAAGGAAAAGCCCACAAATTTGATAACCTAGATGAAATGAACCAATTCCTTGAAAGACACAATCTACCAAAATTCACACAGGAAGAAATACATGATGTGAGTAGATCTGTATCTACTAAAGAAATTGAATTAGTAATTAATAACCTCCCGAAACAGAAATCACCAGGCCCAGATGGGTTCCCTGGTGAATTCTATCAAACAGTTAGGGAACAAAGTATATCAAATCTCTACAATCTCTTTCAAAGCATAGAAGCATAGGGAATACTTCCTAACTCATTCTATGAGGCCAGCATTACCCTAATACCCAAACCAGCCAAAGACATCACAAGAAAAGAAAACTACAGACCAATATCTCTCATGAACATAGAGGCAAAAATCCTCAACAAATTATTAGCAGACTAATTATTAGCAGACTAATAATCCAAACAAGTATAAAAAGAATGATACACCAAAATCAAGTGGGATTTATCCCAGGTATGCAAGGCTGGTTCAACATTTGAAAGTCAATTAATGTAATCCATCACATTGACAAACTAAAAAAGAAAAATCACATGATCATATCAATAGATGCAGGAGAAGCATTTGATAAAATTTAAACTCAAGCATGATAAAAACTCTCAGTAAACTAAAAATAGAGGGGAATGTTCTCAACTTGATAAAGACTGTCTAAAGAAACCTTCAGGTAACATCATACTTAATGGTGGGAAACTTGAAGCTTTCCCGCTAACATCAGGTACAAGGTAAGGATGTTGACTCTCACAACTCCTTTTCAACATCATACTGGAAGTCCTTGCTAATGCAGTAAGGGAAGAAAAGGAAAGAAAAAGTATACAGAGTGGGAAGGAAGACATAATACTGTCTTTGTTTGCAGATGACAGGTTGTCTATGTAGAAAATACAAAAGACTCAACAAAAAACTACTGGAACTAAATCATAGCAAAGTTGCAGGGTAGAAGGTTAATATATAAAAGTCAACTGCTTTCCTATCTACTAAAAATGAGTAAGTGGAGTTTGAAATTAAAAACACAGTATCATTTACATTAGCACCTTCCCAAAATGAACTACTTAGGTATAAATCTAACAAAATATATACAACGAGATCTATATGAGGAAAAACTACAAAACTGTTGAACATAACCAAAGAACTAAATAAGTGGAAAGATATTCCATATTCCATGTTCATGGAGATAGGAAGACTCAATATTGTCAAGATGCCGGTTCTTCTCAACTTAATATACAGATTCAATACAATCCCAATAAAAATCCCAGAAAGTTATTTTGTGGACATTGATAAACTGATTCTAAAGTTTATATGGAAAAGCAAAAGACCCAGAATAGCCGACACAATATTGAAAGAAAAGAACAAAGTTGGAGGACTGACACTACCTGACTTTAAGACTAACAATAAAGCTACAGTAATCAACACAGTGTGGTACTGGTGAAAGAATAGACAAATAGGTCAATGGAACAGCATAGAGAGCTCAGAAATAGAATTCTATAAATATAGTTAACTGATCTTTGACAAAAGAGCAAAAGCAATACAATGTGAAAGACAGTCTCTTCAAAGAATGGTGCTGGAACAACCAGACATCCACATGCCCCAATATGAATATAAACACAGGCTTTACACCCTTCACAAGAAATTAACTCAAAATGGATCATAGACCTAAAAGTAAAGTACAAAACTCTAAAACTCCTAGAAGATAACATAGGACAAAATCTAGATGATCTTGGGTTTGGTGATGCCTTTTCAGACACAATACCAAAGACATGATATATGAAAAAATAATTAATAAGCTGGACTTCATTAAAATTAAAAACACCTGCTCTTTGAAAGAAAATATTAAGAGAATTAGAAGATAAGCCACAGACTTGGAGAAAATATGTGCAAAAGGCACATCTGCTGAAGGACTGTTATCCAAACTGTACAAAGAACACTTAAAATTCAACAATAAGAAAACAAACAACCTGACTTTAAAAATGGGCCAAAGATTTTAACAGACACCTTACCAAAGAAGATATACAGATGGCAAATAAGCATATGAAAAGATGCTCCACATCATATGTCATCAGGAAATGCAAATTAAAACAATGAGAGACCACTACACACCTAGTAGAATGGCCAAAATCCACAACACTGACAACACCAAAAGCTGGTGAGAATATGGCATAACAGGAACTCTCATTCCTTGCTGGTGGGAATGCAAAATAATCCAGCCACTTTGGAAGAGTTTGATGGTTTCTTACAAAACTAAACATAATCTTAGCATATAATCCAGCTATCATGCTCCTTTGTATTTATCCACAGAGGTTAAAAATATGTCCACATAAAAACCTGCATGAGGATGTTTACAGCAGCTTTATTCATAATTGGCAAAACTTGGAAGCCACCAAGATGTCCTTCAGTAGGTGAATGGATAAATAAACTGTGGTACATCCAGACAATGGAATATTACCTAGTGCTAAAAAATAAAGATAGCTCTGTCAAGCCATGAAAAGACATGGAAGAACTTTAAAAGCATATTACTAAATGAAAGAAGCCAGTATGAAAAGCTGACATACTGTGTGATTCATCTATAGGACATTATGGAAAAGGTGAAACTATGAAGACAATAAGGACCAGTGGTTGCTGTGGGGCTGGGGGTTGGTGGGGAGAGATGAATAGGCAGAGTGCAGAGGACTTTTAGGGCAGTGAAAATACCATGTGTGATATTTAAATGATGGGTATAAGCCATTACACATTTGTCCAACCCATAGAATGTACAACACAAGGCATGAAACCGAAGGCCAACTATGGACTTGGGGTGATTCGGATGTGTCAATGTAGGGTCATCCTTGGTAAAATGTACCATGTGGTGACGGATGTTGATAACATGGGAGACTGTGCATGTGTGGGGCAGGGGGGTACATGGGAATCTGCAGCTACCTTTCCATTTTATTGTAAGCCAAACTGCTCTAAAATAACTAAGTTTTTTTTTTTTGAACCCATTATCTTACCTAAAATAACTGACCTTTGAGGTGCATCTAATTACTGAAAACTTCATAGTAAAATTTCCTTTCAACAATATTGTTTTCTTTCATCATACAATATACATATCTGTCTTCTTTCCTTTTTTTTTTTTTTTGCGGTACGCAGGCCCCTCACCGCTGTGGCCTCTCCCACTGCGGAGCACAGGCTCCAGACGCACAGGCCCAGCGGCCATGGCTCACAGGCCTGTGCTCCACGGCATGTGGGACCTTCCCGGGCCAGGGCACGAACCCGTGTCCCCTGCATTGGCAGGCAGACTCTCAACCACTGCGCCACCAGGGAAGCCCTCTTCCTCCCTTTTTAATACTCCAGAGGTAGGAAAGACACTTCAGCACCTGCCAACAAGATGAAATCTGAATGGCTGTGGAGTCTGATTCTGGTTCCTCCAACTATTTTGCTAGTCTTCCTTTACTACAAGAGCCTCCATTTTCTTCATGTTTAACATGGAAGCCAGAAAAACCTGATTCAATAGATAATGCATATTCTATAGTTGTATGCAGATACGATACTTAAAGTGTTATCTCCTGAAAGAGGAATTAGACTTGCGGTATGACCCCAGGAGTTCAAACTAGAACTGGTGGGTGGAAGCCACAGAAAAATATTTTCCAGTAAGGGAAACGTTAGAACTGTATCAGTGGAATACATGGATTTAGTCAACAATGAGTTTCCCATCACAGTAGGTGTTCAAGAACAGGGTAAATGCCTCTTATGGGGAATTCAAGCCTCTGTTTTCAACTGAGGCTAAAATGTAACCCATGTGGGAGAAGAGTTCACAATTACTAAAAATATGCAACAAAAATGGGTCCCCAAAATAATTCTGAAAGTTTTAAAAACTTAACTATAAATATCTCTATAGAATATAATCTGTCAATGTCAGGATAACTGGGCTTTTTGTTTCTGTCAGGGTTGGACCCAGATTCTTGGACAATGTTGTTGGATATGCAAGGTCAAGAATCACTGTACACAATGATGTTATTTGTTCCAGAAATTTACTTGAGTTTTATCACCTTAAAAAGCAGTTTTTCTCTACTGAATATACTGAAAAAAATGACTTTGGGTCCTTAAAAACACAGATTCTGGCTCTTCCCACTATCTCCCTTCCCCCTCCCTCACATAACTCTCACTCAATATTTCTTTGTGGAGCTCAGGCATGTCATTTTTAACAAATATTCTAAGTAATTTTTATTGTAGGTGGTCATAAAACTAAACTTGAGAGACATTCAAAGAGAGTAGAAAAAATCAACGCCCACTCTTTCTATTCAAGAGTTTATGAGAATGCGGCAGGACTTTATGTTCAGATGAATTCCATCTTTAAACCAAACAAACAAACATATAAACACTGATACATTTTGTTTTTTCTTCTATCTCAGGGCCAAAAGCCAAAATGAAATTTATAGTACTTGCTGTCACCGTTGGACTAACTTTGCTGCTAGGAGTCCAAGCCATGCCTGCAAATCGCCTCTCTTGCTACAGAAAGATACTGAAAGATCGCAACTGTCACAATCTTCCAGAAGGAGTAGCTGACCTGACAAAGATTGATGTAAACATCCAGGATCACTTCTGGGATGGGAAGGGATGTGAGATGATCTGTTACTGCAACTTCAGTGAATTGCTCTGCTGCCCAAAGTAAGGAAATGCAATCACAAAACATATTGCTGTGAAGTGTATGTACAACAACTCTTTAAGACACCTTCATAATGGGTGTGCTAAAATTAATCACCCTTTTCAGTAAAACCCTGTTCAAATCTCAGCTATTTTTTAGGATCATCACCATATGTACCGAAATGAATGTTTTCATTTAAGAGACCGAGTCTGGCAGATTTTAGTAAAACTAAATGAGATACAGGAAATTAATAACACTCCAATCTATTAAATTCTAATTTTCCTATCTGATTTTTAATCACACACACAAAAAAATCTGGTAGCTGAAGTCACCTTCAAGGCTGACATCTTAAACTAATTTGAAAACTAATAGAAGGCTTTAGATAAAAGATCCCAAACAGATCAAGTAACTGGATGGAAAAGTTTGGTAATGGTGAAAGAAAAACTTTCTAGCTCTATGTATGAGTTAACCAGAAATTAACTGAATAGAGACTGTCCACTGACTTGGAAAGTAGATGTATTTTAAGTATAATACAAAGGTAGATAAATAAATATTTATAGCTCTTGATTTTAAAATAATCTTCTCCTGGTTATTGAGGAAGCTCAAATACTATGATCTTGGCTACTTCATATTGAAATCAGCTTTTTCAAATTACTTTCAACATATCATCATATTTTTCATTTTTCTAAGAAATCTGTGAGCTAGAAAGGGCAGATATAACCATCTTATCAAAGAAAGGTGTACAGAGGTAAAATGACCACTATCCCACTTAGCTAGCTAATATCAGCACTGAGACTAGAACACAGGTCTTCTGATTTGGCCTGGGTATTTTTTCTACCAAGCCAGTTGGTTCTTAAGTATGGTTCCCAGAACAGCAGCTTCAACATTACCTGAGTTCTTGTTAAAAACGTAGTTCATCCCTGGGCCCCAGACCAAAGCAACTGAATCAGAAACAATGGAGAGAAAGCACAGCAATTATGGCTTAAACCCTCCAAGTGATTCTGATGCAAAATAAAATTTGAGAATCACTTGATTAAACAATGATATCAAGAGCTCAAGTTAACTGATTCCATAAAATGATTTAACTTTTCCTACATAAATGAAACGCCATCTAATATTAAAATATCATGTTTCCTTTTTTGTAAGACTTGAAACTAATTTATTGAAATGTACTTACTTTATGATATAATTTTGTGATTATCCATTGTTAATGGATGAGCTAGAAGTATGGATATATGAAAATAATTTCTATCTGAGTTTGGGTTACAGTTTTCCCAGTAGCAACAAATATCTAAGTATATTTCTTTTTTTTTTTTTGCCTATAAACACAAATTTTATTTTGCCATTCTACTTTGCCAGCTGCATTGAATATAATACAGCACTGTATAAGTTTAAGGTGTACAGCACAATGAGCTGATATACATATACAGCTGACCCTTGAACAACACACGTTTGAATTGCATGGGTCCACTTATCCGTAAATTTCTTTCACTAAACATAATACATACCACAGTACTATCCCATCTATGGTTGGTTGAATCCTCGGATGTCGAACCACAGATATGGAGGACTGACTGTAAAGTTATGCACGGATTTTCCACTGCACAGAGGCTCAGAACCCCTTACCGCTGCATTGTTCAAGGGTCAACTGTATTGTGAAATGATTACCATAATAAGTTTAGTTAACACGAATCACCTCATATAGTTACAAATCTTTTTTCCTTGTGATAACCTGTAGGATCTATTCTCTTAGCAACTTTCAAATATATCATACAACAGTGTTAGCTACAGTCATCATGCTGTACATTGCATGCTAAGTATATTTCTAATGAGCCATAATCATAATACTACCTTGCACGTATACACAATTTTATATTATACCGTGCATTTTTATTATACATCACCTTATGTGATCTTTCCAACAAGAGTGGATAGAGTTGAGGAGCTCAAAATTTCACCTTTCCCTATAAAACCTAGAAATTTACTTATTGACTTCCCAACCAATTTTTAATCTTCTGTTTCTTAGCTGTAGATTTAAACTTCATGGCCTATCCCCACCCATATCAGAGAAATGAATATTTTGGTATGCTTGTAAGGTTTTGAAATCACCCAATCTTTCCTTTTCTTTATAGACAAACGACAGCATAATGTCCATGGCAGATGGGGGAAAGTAGAAGAATTGATTACCTTCTTGGTCTTTGCTGCTCTTGTGGCAAAAGTCCTCCCACTCACTCTCTTTGTACTTTATTCACCTAAAAAGAATAGCCATATCTGAAATCCTGGAAATCACCGTCCATTTCTTGCTCAGAAAAGTCTAACATGTATCTTAACTTTCAGCTGGATTTAATTCATGTTCTGCTCTCTTTCAGAGATGTCTTCTTTGGACCAAAGATCTCTTTCGTGATTCCTTGCAACAATCACTGAGAATCATCCTGTATTCCAGACAACACCATTCTTAATTCCCCACAAACCACACTCTAACAGTGTAGCTGTATTTCTGGTTCCTATGCAGTGCAATAAAGCACAGATTCTATAAATTCTTACTTGCCTAAGTAAACTTGTGTTAAATTAGCAGTAATAAAAATTCCATTTAATTTTTCTCTGTGGAAATTGTTTAAAATTTTTGACTAGAAAATTTTCATCTACAAGGTGTTCACTGTGCTCAGTAAAAGAATTCTGTCCCTCAGAGGAAGAGCCATAACCCTGGCTCAAAGATGGAGAATACTTTCAGTTCTTGACAGATCATGTATACTTAATGAAAAGAACCAGAGATAAATTGAGGTTCTCGGAAGGGAAACTAGAAGTTTTCTAGTAAGAGGGGGAAAAGGGAGCCAATATTTGAGTATATACTATGTATGCCAAGTACTTTAAGCACATTTGCATTTTGCTGTCTTAAAAAACCACAAAACCATCAAGATAAGTATTCTTAAACCCACTTTTCAGATGCTAACTCAAGTTTAAGGTATTTGCTAAAACTCAAGACAGACTTTGAAGACAGTTCCAGTTCCAAAATACTCACATAGTTGTATCCTTAAAACTATGCTACATACCCCTGACATGTCCATTTTTCTTGGGAATAACAAAACACATTAAAAGAAACGTGTAATGGATCAGAATTTAAAGTCACATGAATTTTAAAGGTAAATAAAACAGATGCCTTCAAAGATATTTTCTGGGTGTTAGAGGCAGTTTTGGACTATGCTCCACACCTTTGGAGGTGTGCACTGACGAGTAGCCAACAGAATTAATTTCAGAAAGTCCTTCATGCTATAAAAATTTATTAGATACTCGCTAAGTGCCAGCTGTTATTAAGATTTGGGGATGTAGTAATGAATAAGATGGACTTCTCCTCTTGGAACTTGTATTCTAACAAAACTGTAATCATTACAAATATTTATAAATGTGAAGCCTGCTGCTACAAAGGAGAAGTGTAGGGTGCTATACAAAGTACTGCTGTGGGGAAACGTTTGAGAAGCACCACACTTGTAGTAAATCTAGGAGATAACCATTTTGAGTTACAGTGACATTGTTTCACTGAAATACATCCTTGGAGGTCCCTGATCTGTTTCTCGAGACCACACCCAGAACAGTTTCAGTGTTCAATAGGTGTTACTGGGCTAAACAAAACAATTTTGAGGTAATCAGAATTCAGTTCCTCTTAAAAGCTGCAAAAACATAAGTCAGAACATGTTTTCAAATAGTATGACTTCTACAAAAAGGCATGAAGAAGTGGAATTGTTTTAAAAAAACTCAAATATATTGTTTTATCAACATAGTATATGATTTGATTGAGCTTTTTTTTCCTTCACTGAATTGACAGGTATTAAAGTCAAACTAACACAATAACAGAAGTCTTATATCCTTTCTGAAACAGTGCATAGAATAGGTAAATAAAGAAAATCACCAGTACATTTTCTACTTGGTATAGTCTCTCTTTGAGGGAGGAAAAAAACAAGGCAATTCAACAATGGCTTTTTACTAAATATTCCCTTATTACTGCACTCAAAACATGATGAGAAAAATAGTATTTGGAAAAAAGCTAAATATTTAATAAATGGAATTTTATAGATTATGACTATTCTTCATATTCTCTCCTTTCTGGAAATAACTTGTAATATCAAATTGCATTACATTCTTTTAGAAATGAATGCATTATAGAAGCACACACTGTTTTTTATGTAAATTACCGAATAAATGTAAAATGTGAATGTTCACACAATGTACCTTATACAACTTTTTCTGACTTGGTCAATATGTTTTACCAAATAAATATAAAAACATGAATGTTCACACAATTTACCTATGCAACCTTTTCTGACTTGATCAATATGTTTTTAAAAGCAAACATCTCATTCAGTCATTTAATGAATAGATCCTTATTTTTTTCAATAGCTTTTAGCTACAAGACAACTAAGCTTTTATTAAAAATGTACTATTGTGGTAAACACTGTGTTTCAACTGAACGAGGTAGGTACTATCACAATCCCTGTTCTATGGACAAAAATGCCAAGGCTTAGAGATTAAGTAGCTCATATTAAGTTACATTATCAGAGCAGTAAAGCCAGGTTTTGAATATGACAGTTTTCCTCTAGCATCTAGAGTCTTAACCACTGCTTTATTTAATAGCATCAGATAATCTATTTCCTTTTTAGGAAAGCAAACTTTTACTTGTATGCAACAAGTACATTTCAGATAGCTCATATATGTTAAATGCTTAAATGAATAACAATTTCTGTATTTTTATCTTTGACTTTCTATATTCTTGTTCTTACTATGAATTCCATGGTGCTGAGCACAAAGTTGACGGTAATACTTACTAATAGCTCATCTCTTCTTGATAAAATTTTTCTTTTCCTCATCATAATCCATAGGGACTCCTTGAATATTTTTGTTTGCTGGGATTAGGTACTAATCCTAAAGGATTATTAGAGAATTAGAAGCAACATGGAGAAACAAAACAATGAGCAACAACTCTTAGAGGGAGAGGACAGGTAAGAACATTCACAGCTCATTCTGCAACCTTAACTTCCTTATAATTGCCCAGAAATATACATGAGTTCTTTCAATAATAAATTGTCTTAGCAAAGTATTATGACAGGTACTTTTAAAATGTAAATAATCTTACCAGTAAAATACTATGGGCTTTAAAATAATTTTCCCAAAAGGAAAAAATCATCAGATTCATATATTTCTAAATCATACTGCATTAACCACCTAAACCTAAATTTTTCTGTCAAAGAATTAAAGAGAAACTGATATTAGAAAAGTATAGTAAATTAACATTGAATTAGCTTCCTCAATTTACTTCTATAGAATGGTATCACCAAAATGTGCTCAACTTGGTATAGTGGTATACCTGGAGAGCAATGCATGCCATACATGTAGCCAATACACTCTCAGAATTTTACAAATAAAAACCTACAGTAAATTTTCAACGAAAGAAGTATATGTGATCTCCATTTCCAGAGTTTTAGAAGTCAAAACGTAAGTCTGTTGGGTACTATGGGTATAAAACTGACTTGATGTCTACTTTAAATATACATTAAAGGGAATACACACACATACAATACACACACACACAAACACATATATGATAATCTAGTAGCAATTAATATGATTGAGAACTATAGTTGACTATGTAGACTATAAATGCAACTGGGACATGATGCATATAGTAAACTAAAGTTTATAGTATCAGCTTTTAGCTACAAAGAAATATAAGAAATATCCTAATCCCCAAAGAATAAATTCTATAGTAAACAGTACACACACTTAAAAAATATATATATGCATATAAGACATTTCTTGACACTTTTAAACTAACTCCAGTTAAATAAATAAGCAATAACATGACAAAAATTTATTTTTGAACCACCATCACTTGCCTAGATCATAATCTGAATTTTGCTATCAAAACTATGTAAATCCATAAAAACAGCAGCTAAAAGAGAGCTGGCTGGCATGGCTATACAAATATCAGACAATACAGATTTTAGATTAAAAAAATTGTACAAGAGACAAGGAAAGACATTTTATAGTTAAAAGGGTCAATCCACAACAAGATATAAAAATTATAGATATATATGCACCAAACAACAGAGCCAGAAAATATATGAAGGAAACACTGACAGAACTGAAAGGAGAAATAGTTCTACAATAATAGTTAGAGGTCTCAATACTTTTCTTTAAATAATGGATAGACATCTAGACAGAAGATTAAAAAGGAAACAGAGGACTTGAACAATACTCTAAACCATTTAGACCTAACAGACATATACAGAACACTTCACCCAACAATAGCAGAAGACACATTCTTCTCAAGTGCACATGGAACATTCTTCAGGATAGTCTGTTAGCCCATAAAACAATTTTCCATAAATTAAAAAAATTGAAATCATACAAACTATCTTCTCTAACCATAATGGAATGAAGCTAGAAATCAATAACAGAAGAAAAACAGGAAAATCCACAAATATGTGGAAATTAAACAATGCATCCTTAACAACCAATGAGTCAAAGAAGAAAGAAATAGGAAAGTCAGAAAATACTTTGAGATGAATGAAAACAAAAATAAAACATACCAAACTTATGGGATGCAGCAAAAGAAGTACTCAGAGAGAAATTTATAGCTGCAAACATATACATTAATACAGAAGAAAGATCTCAAATCAACTGAACTTTGCACCTTAAGAAACTAGAGGGACTTCCCTGGTGGTGCAGTGGTTAAGAATCCGCCTGCCAATGCAGGGGACACGGGTTCAATCCCCGGTCCGGGAAGATCCCATATGCTGCAGAGCAACTAAGTCTGCATGCCACAACTACTGAGCCTGCGCTCTAGAGCCCACGAGCCACAACTACTGAGCCCATGTGCCACAAATACTGAAGCCCACGCACCTAGAGCCCGTGCTCCACAACAAGAGAAGCCACTGCAATGAGAAGCCTGCCCAGCGCAATGAAAAGTAGCCCCACTCACCACAACTAGAGAAAGCCCATGCGCAATGAAGACCCAATGCAGCCCCCCCAAAAAAAAAATCAATGAAACCAAATAAAATATCAGCAAAATTGACAAACCCTCAGCTAGACTACTAAAAAAAAAAAAAAGAGAGAGAGAAAGTACATATAACTAAAATTACAAATAAAAGCAGGGACATTACAACCAACCTTACAGAAATTAAAAGTATTATAAGAGAACACTATGAACAATTGTATGACAAATTGAATAAAATAGAGGAAATGGACAAATTCCTAGAAACACAAAATTACCAAAGCTGACTCAAGAATAAATAGAAAACCTCAACTGCCCTATAATAAGTAAAGAGATTGAATGAATAATCAAAAATTTTCCATCAAAGAAATGTCCCGGACCAGATGGTTTTGCTAGCGAATTCAAAAAGATAAAAGATAAATTAACATCACTCCTATTCAAATTTTTCCAAAAAATAGAAAAAGAGAGAACACTTTCTAACACATTCAATGAGGCCAGCATTATCCTGATAACAAAGTCAGATAAAGACAGCAGAAGAAAATATAGAACAATATCCCTTATGAATATAGATGTAAAAATCTTCAGCAAAATACAAACAAACCAAACCCAACAGCACACTAAAAGGATTATACACCATAACCAAGTGATATTTATCCCAGGAATGCAAGGGTGGTTCAACCAAAGAAAACAATTCAATGTAATACACTAAATTAACAGAACAAAGGGGAGGAAAACATGATTACTTCAATAGTTATAGAAAAAGTATTTGACAAAATTCAACACCCTTTCATGATTAAAAAACTCAGCAAACTAAGAATAGAAGGAAACTTCCTTAATAAAATAAAGAGCATTTACGATATATCCACAATTAACATTATACTCAATGGTGAAAGACTGAAAGCTGCCTTCATAAGATAAAGAAAAAGACAAGGATGCCTGTTTTCATCCCTACTACTCAACATTGTACTGTAAGTCCTAGTCAGAGCAATTTGGCAAGAAAAATAAATAAAAGGCATCCAAATTAAAAAGGAAGAAGTAAAATTATCTCTATTTAAAGATAACATGATTCCATATATAGAAAATATCATAAAATCCACAAAAATACTACTAGAGCTAATAAATGAATTCAGCAGGGTCAACACACAATAATCAGTGTTTTATACACCAGTAAGGAACAATCCAAAAAAAGATATTAATAAAACAATTCCATTTATAATAACATCAAAAAGGATAAAATATCATGAATAAATTTAACCAAAGAGGTGAAAGACCTGTACATTGGAAACTACAAAACATTACAGAAAGAAATTAAAGAAGACCTAAAAGTAATGGAAAGATAATCCATGTTCACTGATTGAAATACTTAACATTTTTAAGATGGCAACTGTCAAGCGATCTACAGATTCAGTACAAGCCTCATCAAAATTCTAATGGTCTTTTTTTTTTTTTCCCCAGAAATAGAAAAGCCAATCCTCAAATTCATATGGAACTGCAAGGGGCCCCAAATATCCTAAACAATACTGAAAAAGAAAAACAAACTGGGAGGACTCAAACCTTCTGATTTTAAAACCTACTACAAGGCTATAGTAGTCAAATGTGTATGGTACTGGCTTAATAGAAATATAGGCCAAAGGAACAGAATTGAGAATATAGAAATAAAACAAAACATCTATGGCAAATTGATTTTTGACAAAGGTGCCAAGACCATTCAGTGGGGAAAAAACAGTCTCTTCAACAAATACTGCTGGAACTGGATAACCTCATTCAAAAGAATGAAGCTGGAACTCTACCTCACTCCATATACAAAAATTGACTCAAAATGGGTCAATGCCCTAAATTTAAGAGCTAAAACTATAAAATTCCTAGAAAAAACATACGGGCTAATCTTTATAACATTGGATTTGGCAATGGATTCTTAGGCTTGACACCAAAAGTATAAGCAACAAAAGAAAAAAATTAATTGTACTAAATAAAAATTTTAAACTTTTATGCATCAAAGAACATTAACAAGAATGTGAAAAGGCAATCTACAGAATGGGAGAAAATATTTGTAAATCATATATTGGATGTAGAATCAATACCTAGAATAAAGAACTCCTACAGGGGCTTCCCTGGTGGCGCAGTGGTTGAGAGTCCGCCTGCCGATGCAGGGGACACAGGTTCGTGCCCCCGGTCTGGGAAGATCCCACATGCCGCGGAGCGGCTGGGCCCGTGAGCCATGGCTGCTGAGCCTGCGCGTGTGGAGCTTGTGCTCTGCAACGGGAGAGGCCACAACAGTGAGAGGCCCGCGTACCGCAAAAAAAAAAAAAGAACTCCTGCAACTCAGCAACGACAAAAACAACCCAATTTAAAAATGAACAAAGGAACTGAAAAGAAATGTGAATCAAAACCACAGTGAGATACCACTTCGCACCTAGTAGGATGGCTTTAATAAAAAAAAAAAAAAAAAAAAGGAAATACAAGTATTAGCAATTTGGAGAAACAGCTGTTAGGACTGTACAATGATACAGCCACTATGGAAAAGTTTGGAGGTTCCTCAAAATGTTACAGAATTACCATGTGACTCAGCAACTCCACTCCTAGATATATATCCAAGAAAAAGGAAGACATGTCCACACAGAAACTTGTACACGAATGTTTATAGCAGCATTATTCATAATAGCCAAAGGTGGAAATCCAAATATCTAAATGTCCATCAATGGATGATTGGAAAAACAAATTGTGACTTTCCAATTGTGATTGGAAAAACAAACTGGAAAAACAAATTGTGAAAAACACATTTTCCAATCAATGGATGACTGGAAAAACAAATTCACACAATGGACTGTTATTCAGCCATAAAAAGCAAAAAGTACTAATATATGCTGCAATTTAGATAAACCTTGAAAGTATTAAAGCAAAAAAAATCCAGAAACAAAAGGACATGTACTGTATGATTCCCTTTACATGATATATCCATAATAGGCAAGTCCATAGAAACAGAAAGATTAGAGGTTATCAGGGGATGGGAAGAGGTGGAATTGGGAGTAGTTACTTATCAGTGTTTCTATGGGGTAAGGAAAAGTTTTTAAAATACAGCTCTGGTGGTTGCACAACATTGTGAATACACTAAATACTACCAAATTGTATTAAAGGCTAACATCAATTAAATAAAAAACTTTATGTAGAAATAATAGAGCTTACTTTCTTAAAGAAATTTATTTCAGACATTAATTTTTAGCCTTTTGCTAAATTATCCAGTAAAAGGTAGTTACCAAATAACTTATTTCTTGAGCTGCTGCTACACATTCTACTCCAATGGTAGTCAAACTTGGATTCTTTTCCTGGTGCTCTAATATTAAAAGTAAACCATATACTTATAGAGATTTACTTTTTCTTGTTCAGATATAGATAAGTAAAAAGGTTTCCACTAAACTCGTAATTTTTAAAACCCAACAGCAAAGAATTAAAATTTTTATGTAAAACTTGTACACTGCAGCTTCTTGAGTCTCTCATCTTTGGGGAGGCTCTTAAGTTCTCAATTTTTCATGTTTTAAATTGCTCTAACGAGGATTTAATTTCACTGGATAATCAACACTCAACTTACTCTTTTCACTTTTTTATACAACTACATTTTATGCACATAATTCTATGAAACTAACATTGATTCATTGTATTCATAAACATACATTTTAATGTCAGCAAATAATTTCAAGCTTTTTTCATAAGAATGGAGTGTGGTTTTATAGGAAAAAATAAGCCTACAGACAAGTTTCGATTGAAAAACTAAGTCTTTATAGATTTAGGTAAAAATATAAAATATAGAGGTAATACTTTCTTCAAATAAACCACCACATCTTGTAGCTATGTGGTTCATCTTCATACAGCTAAGAAAAAAACTTCTCATGGAGATTTCTGGAGTACTGGAAACCAGAGGTTTCTGTAATACCAATTATTACAAGCTCTGGCTCATCAATAAAGTAGCAAGTAAATCTTTAAATGGTCACAGCAAAAACAAAGACCAGTAGCGTTAGAGTTCACCATTATTTTCTAGCTGTCAATACACTCAGAACAGTTAAAAATACAAAGACTCACCTTCTATTGAACCAGTATGTTCTCTTTTTTTTTTGTTTTTGAACCAGCATGTTCTTTAAATTTGGCTACATAGCAGTTCCCAATCAGGGGTGATTCTGTCCCCACCAGGGACATTTGACAATGTCTAGAGATATTTTCGGTTATCACTTTTGGAGCTCTATTGGTTCTAGTGTGTGGACTCCGGTGAGTCTGCCAAACCTACAACACAAAG